CTCTATCTCATTCTCTCTCTCAAATAAATAAATAAAATCTAAAAAAAAAAAAAGAAACCAGTCGATGAGCACCAGGAGCAAGGTTGCCACTGAGGACAAGAGTGGAGAACCTATTCGGGGGCAGGGCGGGGGAGCAGGTGAAGAAGGAAGACGGGGCAAGGGTTGGGAGCTGGTGGTGGAGGGGAAAGTGGGCCTGGTCACAACGGGGTAAATATTGAAAGAGCCCATCCCTGATCTCCAGAATTAGGGCCCCTGAGGAATATGCCAAGCCCACATTAGTGTTTCTTACTTGGGATCTCTCCTTCCTCAGACCCACTCCCCCCAGTCCCTCAGATCTTAACAGGCCTGTGACCCTGCCCACCATGGATGGCTATGTGCTCATTAATATTTCCTTCTGACTCAGCTCCTAGCCTGAAAGAGGAGGAGGAGACCTATAAGGTTGGGAGTCTGGCTGACGGCCCCTCCTCAGACACTGTGGATAGTGCCAGCCCTTTGGAACCCAGCCAGGATAAGAGGTACTGACAAGAGCTGTATTCGGTGGCTGGGAAAAGGGTGGTGGTGGGAAAGGGGGTGAAAGATTGTTCAGAGCCCCAGGCTAACTCAAGGGGAAACCTTATGGTTCCTTCCACTCCTGGGGAACTTCTGATCAGGCAGGAAGTCAGGCAGACCCGCCTGTCTATCCCAGTTCAGCAATGACCCTTTTTCTCTGTGGTCTCCAGCCAGGATACCCTGATAATGTGTTTCTCTTCTGCCCTGCCTGAGTATGTCCTCCTCATTCCATCCCTCAAATCCTCTTCTTGCGTCCATGGCTCACCAAGAACAACACCCTTCTACACCGCTCTGGGGTTCCTGGTGAGCAGCTTCCTGCCAGGTTCAGGCCTGAGCTCACCTACCCCTTTATGTCCTTCAGCATCCCCTTGATCTGGGGCGCTGTGCTCCTGCTGAGCCTGCTGGTGGTGGCAGTGGTGCTGTTTGCTGTGATGGCCAAGAGGAAAGGTAGGTAGCCGTCCACCTGCCGACCCTAGCACAGCCCCGCTGGTCATGTACCAGCTAGTCTTGTAGACAATGCCGGACTCGGTCTGTGTCGCCTATAGATGGGCTTGTCTGGGCTTTAGTAAGGCCCTCGGGTCCTAGAAGTTCCCAGACGAGGGGTGGACAGGAAGAAGGAGATTCAGTGGGAGCTGTCCTGGGGACAGACAGGAATCGGACAGGGTGGGCAGCGGGATACACAGGTGACTGGAGGAGGTGAGGGAAAGGATTCAGTAGACAGGCTGAGTGTTGAGGCAGGATGAAGGGAGTTGGAGGCAGTAAGTGGGTGGGAGGCTCCTGGCAGGGTGGGGCAATACTGGGGAGGCAGTGGGTAAGTTTTGCTGGTAGGAGTGGGATGAAGGGTCTGGACCAGGAATGAGGCTTCAGGGACTTCTGAAGGTAGCGAGGGGATGGGCTCTGAGCCAGAATGGGAAGCAGACTGTGGTGTCATCCTCTGTCTTCCCAGGAAACAGGCTTGGTGTCCGCGGCCAACCTCAGAGCAGTGGCGTTCCAGGCATGGTAAGAGGCCTCTGCAGGCCCCCAGCCAAACTCCCCAGACCTTCCATTGGTCCAGCTCACCGAGAGGTCCCAGGATGAGGGGGTAGATAAAGACTGGGACCCAGTCAGGGTCCATACCCTCTTCCTAAATGCTGTAAACTTGGCACCAGTTATCTTCCACCTTCCCACCTTGGTATTTCACCCTCCCCGATTTGGGGAGAATGTTAGGGCTTGAAAATCTTCAAAGGGAAGCCCTCTTGCCCACTAACATACTCAGGATTTGAGAGACAGATCCAGTGTGGTCCTGGGCTTCCCCCACAAAGGGAACTGGGGCAGAGGGGCATTTTTTCTCTGCCTCACTCACCTGCTTTTGTTACAGGCCGCCTCCTCAGTGGCCCACCATATCAGTGACTCTGGACTGGGACTTGATTTGCCATCGGACATTCCATATGCTAGGCTCGACTCACCACCTTCCTTTGACAATACCACCTATAGCATACCTCTTGATCCCCCATCAGAGAAATCCCCACCCCCAGCCCAATCCTCATCGCCCCCTCTGCCTCCTAAGGTCCTAATGTGCTCCAAGCCTGTGACATATGCCACAGTCATCATCCCTGGAAGGGACAAGGTTGGAGGGGCCTCCTGTGAGCCAGCCCAGGATCCACCGAATGGCCAAATGCCACCCAGCTAAGCTGTCCATCATACCGTACACTCACGGAGACTATCCCCAGAACTCTGTGCATCCAGCCAGCCAGCCCATGCCCTAGACCCTTACAATATCAGAGCAGCTAGGGACCTTAGGTTCTAATCTAACATCTTGACTTTTCTGACCTGGAAAGTGAGACTTAAATGTGACTGAGGTGTCTTGGGAGTCCCCCATGCTTGTTCCTCTGCCATTTTACTACTGAGCTAAATAAACTCTGAATGGTAATATATGAGCTCTTGATGTTTGAGGGGGAAGGAAAGGGCCTGAGTTTGACTATTCCCATGGCCTGGGAACTGAAGATTCTGGTCCAGAGTTTGTGCTGCATGATCTGCTGCCTGTTCTGCCTGTAGGGACATGGTTTCATTCTCTGGTCAGAATACTGTGATGCAGTTTGATTCAAGGGGCACTAAGAACACTTCTTCAGAAGTATTTCCTGCCTTTCTCATGGTACCTAAATTATAGATCCATTAGCTTAAGTCTAGAGATCTCTTCTGCCTTCTGCTCTGCACCTTGTAAACAAATGGCATCTTCTGATGTGACAACATATGACAGGAGGAAGGGGATAATGTGAGTGAAAGGAGACTCAGGACAGTTGGGGTGAGAGAGATGGAGCTGAAAAGAAATAGGAGGGATGTTAAGGGAACAAACTGAGGATTGCTGGAGGGGAGGTGGGTGGGATGGGGTAACTGGATGATGGGCATTAAGGAGGGCACTTGAACTAATGAGCACTGGGTGTTATATGCAATCGATGAATCACTAAAGTCTATCCTTGAAACTAATAATACACTATATGTTAACTATACTGAATTTAAATAAAAAATAAAAAAAATAGGAGTAAGATCAGAAACGGAAATAAATCCCAAGCCTATTCCTTGGCAGGACCAAGGATTTTCAAGCTCCAGGAGATAAAAGACCTCTGCAGACATGTTTTATCAGAGCTGGCTCTCAACTGGGTGGACATCTGGTAGCACTGTTCGCTTTGGCCTGAAATCTGGAGCCTGGAAAGAGCCCAGTGGAGAAAAGGCATGGCATGGGAAGAAGGTAAATGAATGGTAAAGGTGTGGCCGTTGTCAAATGTAAATGAAAGCTAGTCCAGGCTGTGTGTGGAAGAGCCTTTAAGGTCTCTGCCAGGATTTCTTCTGAAACTGCTCAATTTGAAACTCTTTGCCCATATTGAGATGACAGATAGATGGAAAGGATGAGGTGCTCAGGAACCTATTCTTCTTATAATCATGGAGAGCTAGGCATAAAGTGTTTTTCACCATCTGGAGAGGCCTGAGTTTGGTCTAGGTACCTGAGAAAGGACAGGCAGGGCGTGTACCCTGGGCTCCAGCTGGGTAGGCCTAGTGATGCTATTTTCAGGGAACTCTGGCAGGATGTTCTGAGCCTCCCCTGATAGAGTCTCAGCCTGTGACAGAATATAAATTTACTTCTGTCCCTTGTGGAGGCAGCAGCTGCCCACCAATCAACTAAGCCCTCATTTTCCCTGGCTAAGATAACTAGTGACTTGCCTGCTGGGGAGGAGAGGCAATGAGGGTGGGGAGAGAATGTGGGGGAAGGGCAGAATAAAGTCTAAAAAGAACACCTCTGGGAAAAAGTTACTCTGGTCTGAATGTAGTTTGAACTTTTTATAGCCTGACAGAAGTAAAAGTATATTTAACAACACAAAGGAAAATACTAAGATCAATTGGCTGGTAGAGAAGAGGGAAGGAGGAAAGGGAAATATATTAATTCCATCATTGCTCATGGTAGAAGTCTATGAATACCAACCAGAATCTCACTTATCACAGTAACTTCTGAGATGAAAATACAGATCTTCTAAATTTTATCATAAGAAACATATGAAAACAAAGCAAAGAAAATGCAGGTGACATGACAAGGACATTGCTTCATATCAGAACCTTTGGAATGCAGCTAAAGCAGTTCTCAGAGGAAAAGTCACACCCTCAACAACAAGAATTAAGCATCTTACTCAAATTGCTAGTTCATTTGAAAGAAGGAAAATTATATAACTAATACATAAATAAAAGAGCTTGTTCTTTGAAATGAAATGAAATAAAGGAGACAAAGTGTTAGCTATTAACTTAAAAAGAAGAATGAAATAAGAAATGACAAGGGGAAAATAATCACAGATATAAAGACAATGAAAAAAACGAGAGTATTTTGTGCTCATGGTGGTGGTTGGGGTGGGGGTAATGAATGTAGAGAAGGCTGAAATAAGTTTTTGGGGTGACTGAAATGTTTTCTATCATGACTGTGGTAGTGGTTACCTGGGTGTATATATTTGTCAAAGCCCATCATTAAAATCGGTGCTCTTTCAGGGCACCTGGGTGGCTCAGTCAGTTAAGCGTCTGCCTTCAGCTCAGGTCATGATCCCAGGGTCCTGGGATTGAGCCCCGCATTGGGCTCCCTGCTTGGCAGGAGGCCTGCTTCTCCCTCTCCCGCTCCCTCTGCTTGTGTTTCCTCTCTCACTGTGTCTCTCTCTCTCTGTCAAATAAATAAATAAAATCTTTAAAAAAAAGATAGGTGCACTTTCTTGTACATAAATTATGTTTTGATAATTTGATTTTTAAAAAATACTTGAAAGACCATGGGGGAATAGTTAAAATAATCTTACAGAGGAAAATGCTCTTTAAATTATACAAAACTCAGAAGCCATAAAAGAATTCACTGATACATTTAAACTGATACATTAAAATAAGAAAAGACTGATATCTTTTTCTCCATGACAAAAGCACAACTCATACAAAGGCAGAGAGCTCAGTAGGGGTTACTACAAATAAATTAGAAAACAAATACTTAATAGGATATATAGATATAGCTCACAAAATAGGAAATATAAACATAGTAAAGATGTTTAACTTCATCTAAGGGAAATGCAAATTAAAAGTACATTGAGAATGACTTAAAAGAAAATGGTTAAAGAACTCAGAAAATTCTCCCCCCCCACCCAATTTCTATTTAAATTCTAGTTAGTTAATGTATAGTGTAATATTGGTTTCAGGAGCAGAATTTAGTGATTCATCACTTACATAATAACACCTGGTGCTCATCATAACAAGTGCCCTCCTTAAATTCTCTCTTCCAAGGGTGCCTGGGTAGCTCAGTTGGTTAAGCATCCCATTCTTGATTTCAGCTCAGGTCATGATTTCAGGGTCCTGAGATTGAGCCCTGCGTTGGGCTCTGCACTGAGCATGGAACCTGCTTAAGAGTCTCTTTCTCATCTGCCTCTACCCTCCCTCTGCTCACTCTCTTTCTCTATAAAAAAATCCCCTGTTCCATAAAAGCAACAAGAAAACTGGCAAAAATAGCCAGAATCAACTTTTTTAGAACTCTGGAAATCAATGGCTTGCATCAACCCCAGGAGCCTTTACTTAAGAAAATTGGCTTTCCCTCCCTTGTATCTCATTTAAAACACAACTTCATAAAGCAGTTTTTACATATCTGTGTTGACAAGCACACCATTTATTAAGATGTAACTTTTATGACATTTATAATATGAAAGAGTGGGGAGGGAATGGAACTATATAGGATCAAAGTTTTCCTACATTGTTTAAATTAAATTGGTATAAATGTGGACTGGATTGTTTTAAATTAAAATGCTAATTGTAATTCCTACAGCAAGAAAAAAACCCTCAAAAACATAGTAAAAGAAATGGCAAGGGAATTAAAACTAAATATAAATTGTGTATTTAATATAATGAAAGACAGTGGAGAAAGAGAGGGGAAACAAGACATAAGACAGAAAACAAATAATAAGATGACAGACATAAATCCTATCTAATCAGTAATTACACTGAATGTAAATAAATATTCCAATTAAAAGGCAGAGATTGGCAGAATGTATTAAAAAACTCATGATCCAACTACGTTTCCTGTAAGAGACAAACCTGAGATTCAAAAACACAAGTAGGTTCAAAGTAATAGGATGGAAAAACATGTGTCACGCAAACTAGCTAAAGAGAGGTGGAGTGGCTACATTAATTAAGACAAAAGGACATTTTATAATGCTAAAAGAGTAAATCCATCAAGAAGATATAATAATTATAAATATACATGTACCTAACAACAGCATTTCAAAATACATAAAGCAAAACTGACCGAACTGAAGGGAGAAATAGACAAACAGTAGTAGATGTAGACTTCAATATCCCACTTTCAGTAATAGGCAGAACAAGGTAGGTAGGTGGAAGATCAGCAAGGAAATAGTAGACATGAACAACACTATAAAAACTAACTAGACTTAACAGACATCTGTAGAACACTCCACCCAACAACAGCAAAATACAATACACATTCTTCTCAAGTATACATGTAACATTCTCCAGGATAGACTATATATCTGACCATAAACAAGTTCTTAATAAATTTAAAAGGATTGAAATCATACAAAGTATGCTTTCTGACTATAATGGAATTAAATTAGAAATAACAGAAATAAATTTTGGAAACTAACAAATATGTGGAAATTAAACAACATACTTCTAAATAACAAACGGGTCAAAGAAGAAATCACGAGAGAAATTATAAATACTTTGAGAGGAATGAAAACAAAAACATAACACAGCAAAACTTAGGGGATTCAGCAAAGCCTGTGCTTAGAGGGAAATTTAATTTATAGCTGTAAATACCTTATATTAAAAGAATAAAAATCTCAAATCAACAACCTAACTTTCCAGCTGAAGAAACTAGAAACAGAAGAGTAGACTAAACCCAAAGCAAGCAGAAGGAAGGAAATAATAGATTAGAGAAGAAATGAATGAAATAGAGAACAGAAAAAGAGTGAAAAAAAATCAGCAAAACCAAGTGTTGGTTCTTTGAAAAGATCAAGAAAATTGACAAATCTTAGCTAAGGTTACTTTCTTAGCCAAAAAAACAAAGAGAAGACTCATATTACTAAATGAGGAATGAAAGTAGAGGGAGCACTCCTGACTTTATGAGATTAGAAGGATTATAAGGAAAATTGTGGACAATTGTGTATCATCAAAATAGATAACCTAGATGAAATGGACAAATTCCTAGAAAGACACAAACTACTGAAACTGACTCAAGATTAAACAGAAAATCTCAATAGATCTATAACAACTAAAGAGGTCTAATTAATAATAATAATTTTAAAAACTTACCAGAAAGAGAAGCCCAGGCCCAGATGGTTTCACTGGTGAATTCTACCAAACATTAAAAGAGTTTCAAAACCAATCTTTCACAGACCCTTCCAAAAAATAGAAGAGGCAGGAACTCATTCTATGAGGCCAGTTTTACCTTGATGTAAAAACCAGACAAAGAGATGACAAGAGAACTACTGATCAATATCTCTTATGAATGTAGATGCAAAAATCCTCAACAAAATACCAGTGAATAGGCCCTAGCAATAAATAGAAAGGATTATACACCATTACAAAGTGGGATTTATCCCAGGAATGCAAGATTGGTTCTACACATGAAAATCACTAAGATATACCATATTAATAGAAAAAAGGACCAAAATCACATGATCCTTTCAATAGAGGACAGAAAAACCATTTGGCAAAATTCAGTACCCTATCATGATACAAATGCTCAGCAAACTAGGAAGAGCTGGGAATTTCCTTCATCTGACAAAGGGCATCTACAAAAAACTCATAGCTAACATCATACCTAAAGATGTATAACTAAAAGCTTTCTCCCTAGGATTGAGAACAAGACAAAGATGTCCACTCTTGCCACTTTCATTCAATACTGTACTACAGGTTCTTACGAGTGTAATTAGGCAAGAAAAAGAAATAAAGATCATCCAGCTTGGAAAGGAAGAAGCAAATCTATTTCTATTTGCAGATGACATGATCTTGTATATACAAAATCCTAAAGAATCCACAAAAAAACTTAGAACTAATAAATGAGTTTAGCAGTTCCAGGATACAAAATCAACATACAAAAATCATTTTTATTTCTATGCACTAGCAGTGAACAACTCAAAAATTAAATTAAGAAAACAACTCCATTACAACAGAATCAAGAATAATAAAATATTTAGGGGCAAAAACTTTTTTTTTTTTTTTTTTTAAGATTTTTATTTATTTGTCAGAGAGAGAGAGCACAAGCAGGGGGAGCAGCAGAGGGAGAGGGAGAAGCAGGCTCCTCACTGAACAAGGAGCCCGATGTGGGACTCGATCCCAGGACCCTGGGATCATGACCTGAGCCGAAGGCAGACGCTTAACGACTGAGCCACCCAGGCGTCCCAGGGGCAAAAACTTAACAAAAAAGTTCAAGACCTGTACATTGAAAACTATAAAACATTGACAGAAATTAAAAAAGACCTAAATATGTGGAAAAGACAAGACATTTTCATGGATCAGAAAACTTAATATTGTTAAGATAGCAATTCTCCCCCAATTTACTTACAGATTTAACTCAATCTCTGTCAAAATTATAGCTGCCCTTTTTTGTAGAAATCGACAAGGTAATCCTAAAAGTCATATGGAAATGCAAAGGACCCTAAACAGCTAAAACAATCTTGAAAAAGAATAAAAAATTGGAGGACTCATATTCCTGATTTTAAAACTTACTACAAAGCTACAACAATCAAGATGGTGTGTACTGACATAAGGACAGACACAGAGAACAATGGGACAGAACTGAGAGTTCAGAAGTAGACCCAAACATCTAACAAAACCATATATCAACAAGAGTATCATTTAAATGGGGGGAAAGAGTAGTCTTTTTAACAAATAGTGTTGAGACAAGTAGATATCCACATGCAAAGAATGAATCTGGAAACTTACCTCAGAGTATATGCAAAAATTAACTCAAAATGAATCAAAGATCTAAAAGAGCTAAAACCATGTAAAACTCTTAGAAAAAAACAGAGGCATAAACCTTTGCAATTTCTAAGATATAACACTTAAAGCACAAGCAACCAAAAAGCAAAAACCAGACAAATTGTACTTCATGAAAACATAATACTTATTGTGCTGCAAAATGATACCATCATGAAAGTGAAAAGACAATTCACAGAATGAGAGAAAATATGTGTAAATCAAATCTGATAAGGTCCTAGTATGAGAATATATTTTAAAAAACTCTTTACGCTCAACAATAAAAAGACATGTAACCCAATAAAAAATGGGCATAAGATTCCAACAGACATTTCTCCAAGAAGATCGACAAGTGGCCAATAAGCTCATAAAAATGTTCAACATCATTAGTCATAAGGGAAATGCAAATCAACACCACAATGAGATACCACTTCATACCCATTAGAATGCCTATATCAAAAAAAGAAGCAGGGACGCCTGGGTGGCTCAGTCAGTTGAGCGTTCTCCTGGTTTCAGCTCAGGTCATGATCTCAGGGTCATGAGATCGAGCCCCGCATTGGGCTCCATGATCAGTATGGAGTCTGCTTGAGATTTTCTCTCTCCTCCTGCCTCTGCCCCTCCCACTGCTTACGCTCACTCTCTCTCTCTCAAAATATATAAATATAATCTTAAAAAAAGAGAATCAATAACAAGTGTTGGTGAGGTGAGGATGGGGAAAACTGGAATCCTCACACACTGCTGGTGGGAATGTAAAATGGTACAGCAACTTTGGAAAACAGTTTGACGGTTCCTTAAAAAGTTAAACATAGAGTTTCTGTATAACCTAAATTCCATTCCTAGGCATATACTCAAGAGAACTGAAAATATATATTCATACAAAAACTTGTACACAAATGTTTATAGGAGTATTATTGATAATAGTCAAACAGAGGAAACAACCCTTGTATCCATAAGCTGGTGTGAATGGATAAATTAAGTGTGGTATATCCATACAATGGAATGCTATCCAACCATAAAAAGGAATGCTACAATGTGGATGAACCTTGAAAAGATTATGCTAAGTGGAAGAGGTCAGACACAAAATGCATATATTATGATTCCATTTATATGAAATGTCCAGAAAAGGCAGATCCATAGAGACAGAAAGATGGTTACTAGGGGTTGGGGGAAGAGGGACTGGGTAGGGACTGCTAATGGGCCTAGAGTTCCTTTTTGGGGTGATAAAAATGTGGAATTAGACAGTGAGGATGGTTTCACAACTTTGTGATATACTAAAAGCCAATGAATTGTATGTCTTTTTAAAGGCTGAATTCTATCTTAATTTTAAAAATTGCCAAAAGGGAAACAAATGGAAAAAAGGAAAGAAAGAAAGGAAAAAGGAAGGAGCAACACAGTATGACTAGTTAGTGCCATATGTGGGAAAGAAGGGTGCTAATGGTAAGGGTAAATATATGCTATTGCTTGCATGTGCACATGATTTTGCAAGGATACACAAAGAAGTGGTAACACAGATCAGCTCTGTGGAGGGGAACTGTTGGCTAGAGGACAGGAATGGGAAAGACTTTCACTGTTAGACACTTTTGTTCCTTCTGAATTCTGTGCCACATAAATGTATAATCTATATTTAAATATAAAAATTAAATTGATAATAATAGCTAATACTTATTGAGTACTTATTAGGTAAGCACACAATACAGGTACTGTTCTAAGTGTTTTATATTTATTTTATCTGCACAATGATGTTCTTTTATTCTGTTTTTATCCTCATTTACAGAAAGGGAAACTGAAGCATAAAGATGAATTATATGCTAAAAGTAACACAGCTAATAAGTAGCAGAGTTAGAATTTGAACCCCCAGGCCATCTGGCTCCAGAGTCCTTGCTCTTTACCACTAGTCTGTATTGCATCTCAGAAATTTAAAGGAGTGGAGGAGGAAGAGAGGAGGGAAGTGGGTGAGAAGGACAAAGGAAGAAGGGGGTAGGAGACAGAGGAATGGAAGGGGGAGTAGGGTGGGAGTAAAGGGAGAGGAGGGAGGGTAACAAGAGGATGGGGCAGGAGGAGGGGGAGTGGAAACAGGGAATGTACGGACCACACAGCATGATTAAAAAGTACTGGGCTCATTTTCCCAAACACCTCCCTGCCTGTCCTTAAAGTTCTGATCACGGTCATTTGAACAGTATATTGAAGATTGGGTACAGGATAGCTTACCATAGCCTAGGTCCCATGAAAGCCTTTATAGCCTAGTGCAAAACTCTGGAATCAAATCTGAGTTAGAATTCCAGCTCCACCATTTTGTGGCTGTGTTTCCTGGAGTAAGACCTTTCTAAGCTTCAGTTTCTTCATCTGTAATATGGGGATAATAAAAGTACTTGCTTCACAGAGTTGATAAAAGGATTTAAAGAATGTGTTTCAAGCACTTAGTGCCTGGCACAGAGTAAGTGAACAATAAATGGTAGCCCTTGTAACATTAATTAACAGACTCTATGAACACTAGATGATTGAGTTATAAAGTGTAAAAAATCAGTGGGAAGATCAGGCTCTGGGTAAGAAAGGCCATCAAACAGATAAAAGTCAAAGGTGGTGGCTCTAGAAAGGGAGAATAAAAAGACAGCTAGAGTCATACACACCTTGGCAATTTCGGCTTCACGTGGGAATCCCCAAGTCATACAGTGCAAAAGAGAAATGGATTCCCACAGCACTGTGTCCCTCTCAAAAGATTCCTTGACTTCTTAGGAGTCCATTAGCAAGAGATCATCAAAGAGATTACCAAGAGATCTGTGCCAAGAGATCATCAAAGTACTCATATTGCTGGCTTTCTGTAAGTAGCCACAACCTCTGTATTAGGGCTGTGTTTTCTATCTGCTAATGGATATTGCCTTACATAAGAAGCAATCAGTTCATTTCAAAGCCTCCCAGGCCTCCAGTCTACCGCTGGTTCTAATTTCTGCCTCAGTTGTGCCAATGACTGTTAAGAGTTAAGAAAGATCTAAGTTTCATGCTTCAGAAACATAGGCTTTTATTTTGACAAAGCTATAGATAGTGGTGACTGTAAAAGGCTAGTATATGAAATATGTACACTATACAGTATCTTAGAAAGGGGAACTTGGGTCATTTCTTTGTGTTATATACAACAAGAGAACCATGGTCCCTTCAGATGATTTTCTTTAACATACACAGTCTTTAATTTCTTCTTCATCCTTATTCTCCTTGACATCAGCCACTCTGTCAAATCCTGAAAGCAGGAACATAAAGAAGATCACAAACCTCAAAGAATGTCCTCAGCAATTACAAATCTAACTCATGGCCCTAGAAAAGGAGGAGATTTGGTGGGCTCTGGGGCAAGGAACTATATTCTTTCCTCTCTTTCTTGTCATTTACCTTCATAGACATTACATTGTGGATTCTAAGGCCTTCTTTCTCCCTTAGTGACCGTCCAGCTACTCCACAGAAACAATCTGGTTGTTTAAGCTGGGACTAAGGAGGAACTTTCTATGCCTACGGGTCACAGATGCTGGAACAAAGGGCTGAGAGAAGGGGTCATACTGTTTAATAATAAAAGGGCCCTGTCTGTCTGGGCTGGGTCTGGTGCTAGTGAGAGGATGATAATTATCTGTGGGGCAAGGACTAACTCCTTTTAGCTATGCGTCCCTTCTTTGGAGCAGCCTCTGACTGTAAGAATCCGAGCCTGTTTGTGACGTCACTCAGACAAGGGTTCCAGGAACGAATGCTTACTCTGTATTCCTAAATTTCTTCCAAAGGAATTGTTTTCCTCCAAGAATTCTCCCTCTATCCAAATCCTGGTCAAGCAGGTGTCAAAAGGTCTGACAATGTTCGTCGAGGACATAGATTCTCTCTTTCCGTATCTCATTATAGAGGCTTTAAGTTCAGAGACCCACTGGTGATAGACGGGGCAGGTTACACATCGAGAGAAAAACTCCTCACAGTACTGAAAGGAGAGGGAAGTCCGTGAGCTCAAGGATGAATACTCCACTCCACCAGGTCTATGACAGTGCCCACTCAGCATACTCGCTCAGGGCTCAGGGGGCAGGGAGGAGTGACTCATAGCAAAGCAGGCCCAGAGAGTTGGTTTTGAGCTACAGGGGAACTGGAATGCCTTAGACGCAGAAGGCAGGGCTGCAGGGACAGGTGTCAAACTGTGGGTCCACTGAGAAGGGCTCAATGTTAACATTTTAACAGTATTGGGTAGTAGCTGTGCAAAAGAAAGTCAGGGTATCCGGTCCTGGTTTACATGCAAGAATACCTAGGAGGGTACATGAGGTAAATGGAAAGACTTTCCAGGTGGAGAAAAAAAAAGAGTTTGGTCGGGGGGAAAGAGAGACAGAGGCAGTGAGGAAAAGAGTAAGGGAGAGATGCAGGCAGCAGGAAGAGTACTGCAGATCAAACTAGAACTTAGGTGTCAGGTGAAGGACAGGAGAGAAGTGGGTACCTTGAGGGTTTGGCTGCGGGTCTCTGGGGGAGTATGCATGAAGACACCCTCTGGCATTTTTTGTAACACTAGCACATGGCACTCCAGGAATCGGACAAAGCCATGTGAACCAAATAGTGAGGCATTAGTTCTTTTCACCAACTGGCGAGCCTTGGAGAAGTGGTGCTCAAACAGATTCCACTGGGAGTCCTGGGCAAACCTGGAGGGAAGAATCTCAGCTCCATCCCCTGCTTCACGACCACAGCTCTTTCACACAGCCATCACTTCTTTAAGGCTCTAAGACCTCCTGGACAGTCAGAACTGTGATGCTGGCCAGTGGCCAAGGCTACTAACTCACGTGAAGGAGACTGTGGGTTATCCAGCACTTAAATGTAACCTTAAACTTAACCTTCAACCTATGGGCCCAAACCTGCTCAGGGATAAAAAGAACCCTTCTAATAAGATGGGAGGGATGGGAGGTAAAGGTCTTTAGAAAGTCAGAGATGCAGAACAGCCCTGCCTGGAGGGGTAAAAGGCAGTAGCTTAAATGACCCCATGGTGTCCTTAAGTTTCTACCCTTTCCCACAGATAGGACTCTGGTACCCCATATTACCACATGGCCAGAGATGAGTGGACCCCCAGCATGACATTACTCTGAGAGTTTAGAATGCAGCTGTGCTCACAGTGTTGAATGAAATGTAGACACTCGCCAAAGGGCCGACATAGCAATCCTGTGGATAGAGAAGGTAACCAGGCTAGGATCAGCTGTCAGTGTAGGAACTGGTATAGAAGGTGTGTGGTACAGGGGAGCAGACAACATCTGAAATGCAGACACCCTGAGTCACATATGTGGTTCTTAGACTTCAAGAAATCAGGGGCTAGGATCAGGGACCATGCCCAAGGGAGAGGCTCATGACTACCCGTGTTCCAAACACAGGGCCCTATCTGAACCCTTCAGGAGTATAGCAGAGCCCTGCACAAAATTTACCTTTTCCGTAAAGCAGCAGATCTAAGCAAGCAGAATAGAAGCAGGCCAGGCCAAGGACATCACGACCCTGGGAAATGAGCGCCCACTGACTCTCCAGCACATGGACACATAGATCAAATCTGCCAAAATACAGAGCCACTGGGACCAGCTAGGGCATGGGGAGGATGGTAGAGGAGAGGAGAGGATCTTACATCTCCAAAGTAGCCTAACATCCCCTAGATCTTCTTGCCTTATCTCTATTTATATAGAAAGTATCTGTGCCTGCAATCAGACCTGCCTCTAAGCAAGGGAAGTGGGAAAATGCCTGAGCCAGTTTCCAGGTTCTTTCTTGAGCTACTGCAATTACCTACCCCCTGCGGAGAAATGAAGCAGAAGAAGGAAGGGGAGAAGGGGGAGAAAGTGGGGAAGGGGAGGAGGAGGAGGAGTATGCATTTCCACTCCCAAACCCCACACTTAAAGACAATGCTTCCTGGAATGACTAGAGAAGAGACAGCCTTGGCTGTAAGAAATGGAATAGCATCTCCCTCACCATTTCAAACTTCTTTGGGAGACCATACCCTCCCCTCTTAGACAACAAATACAAATGGCAGAAAATGATCTTAATACTTCTTCTTCAGAAAAGCAGATCTGAAGAGAACTGAGAGAACCAGATTCTCCAGAGCTGGTTTCTTGAGGTGTCTGCATATCTCATGAGCTTGAAAACCTAAGGAGGTCAAAGAGCATTGTGAGAGGCCTAGTGGTGAACTTGGCTTCTCTAAAAGCCCTAGGCCCACCAGCTCCAAGCCCCATTACCCAGCTTGATGGAGAAGTCAAGATGGCCAAGGCAGAGTTTGGTGTAGGCCAAGGCCTGCATGAGCTGCGCTGTGGCCAATAATCCCTCCCTGGAGAACCAACACAGGCTGCTTTTCTGAATGGCCATCTGCTCACACTGCAGCCACTTGTCTCTGTCACCCATATTCTGGGAGAACTGGGATAGGGCCACATAGGTAGAGACAACCTGTGGGGCAACAAACATGGGGCAAAATATTCTGACTGTACATACACGCTACACTTCCATCTTGTCCCTTTCCTGCATAAGAGCCCACTATGGTGCCTTTTTGCCCACCTGACCAGGGATTGCTGGTATCCCTATCACTCTCCCCAACTCCTGCTATGAAAACACACTCCTTGTTGTCCCCACACTTCTAATTTGATCATTCCCACCACCTGATCTTTAAACAAACTATTTTCTCTACCTGCCCTTCTTCTTGTTCTCCGATCCCAGACTTCCCCTTCAAGACACTGGCCAAACTGTACTTCTATGTTTTCCCTAATGAAGGCCTCTGATACTTGTTCCTTAGAACTCTTCAGAACTGCTGCCTAGATGTCTATTATAAGTATGTGCACATTTGACATCATTGATGACTCTTTTCTTGAGATACTGTCTTCACTAGGTTTTGAGGACATCATACTCTCTTGGCAACTGCTCAGTTTCTTTTGCTGATTTCTCCTTATGACCCTGACCTCTTAACATTGGAGCTGTTGGGCGCCTGGGTGGCTCAGTTGGTTAAGCGACTGCCTTCGGCTCAGGTCATGATCCTGGAGTCCCTGGATCGAGTCCCGCATC